ATATATATATATATATATATATACATTCAATATGCATGTACAAGTATATATAAATTATTATACGTATAAGGAAGGGAGCATTTTCCGTTATCTTTTTGTTTTCCTCCGCCTTATTCAAGCTATATTTTGTGTATATAGGCAAAGTGCATGCATCCATAATAGTGGTAAGTAAATTCTCATTAAAAATGCAGCATTCTAATTGTTTTTTCTTTTTTCTTATTTTCTTTCTCTGTCTCCTCTCTTACACGTCCAGAAACTTGACGAGCTGCGCAATCCCTCCACCCTTCAAAAATGCCCTTCTGTACTTGTCATCTGCAGCAATAAACAAACAAATACACTCAACTCTGCTTCTGCATGCATGCATAAGTGCAAGCATGCATGCGTGCATGCATGCATTTATCTTGGGGCTGTAGGTCCTCCGTTTAAGTCTAATGACACCCTCAGATGCAGGGGATGTTATCGCAACAAAGCATTGAACAAATTGTCTTCAGCCAACAGAGTGCATGCAGTATATCAATCAACTAGGGGCTTTTAATCTTGCATGCACGCATGCATGCATGCATGCGGACACCAGGGCACCGAGCGCAACATAGAGTACGATGTTGATAAAGGGTAGATTACACTGCATGCAACGGACGGAAATCAAAGAAAACCCCAACTTGGGTTTCTACGCCATCCCTCCACCCGAAGCTGCGTAAAACCCTAAACCCTAAACCCTAATTCCGAAACCCCAAGCCGTTAGCCGTGAAGCCTAGACCCAAAGCTCTAAGCCCCTAACAATTAACTTTATACCCTAAACCCTAAACCCTCACCCAGAACGTAGATGTTGCGCGCTGTCTGAGCACAAGCTGCCCTCATTCCTTCTATGTCTGATTTCATTCCTTGAATTAAATACGGCATCGCTCCAGCGTTGAACATGGCAATACAGTTCTGTTTATCTAAAGCCAACAAACACGATGCAGCAGCAACAACAGCAACAACAGCAGCAACAGCAAAAGCAGAAGAAGCACGAGCAGCAGCAGACACAGCAGAAGCAGCAGCAGCAGTAGCAGAAGCAACCGCAGCAGCAGAAACAGCAGAAGCAGCAGCCGGAACAGCAGCAGCAGCAGCAGAAGCCGCAGCAGCGGAAACAGCAGAAGCAGCAGCAGCAACAAAAACAACAGCAGAAGCAGGGAGAGCGCACGCATGCACACGTGTAGATGCCCCTAATGCGTCTGATGTACAGTTATTCTATAGCACACTATGCAGCTGTGTTTGTTGCTGTAGACGTATACAGAGTATAAAGAGGAATAAATGGAGCTACTAAAGAGCAAATGGGTTCGTCGTGTTGTGCAATGAGGTGTACAGGCAAAATAATAACTACACGTAATTGCTTACTATCCGAAGACAAAAAAGAAAGCGCCACGACTGCAGAGTGTTTGCGATCTAACTCCTGAAAACAGATAACAAACGCAATAAAGCACATGCACAATATTCGATTTTGTAACTGAGATTCAATAACTCGGGGAAAAGAAACAAACAAAAATATTCCTAACAACCCGCCTACCGTTCGTGCTGTCAGCAATAGCGAAAAAACAGCACCAGCAAAACACAAACTAATAAATATATATAGGTATATGCAACAACATGTATATATATTATATGCATGTAAGCACGGAGTTATAAATACAAATACGCATGCATACATTATATATATATATATATATATGCATTGAGGCATACGCATACATGTTGATGCGCAGATATGCGCAAATTATGGATATCGGACGCACGCTACAGGCAACGTTAATCATAGAGCATCATTCTACTTATTATTATATTACATTCTGTTGTCTTTGTTTTGCTGCTGCAGCAGCAGAACAACGACAGAAGAGTAGCAGCGAAATGACAAACCTTTGAGCCCAGCAGCTTCACCAGCACCTCAATGCCTCCAGCCTCGCGAATCTCATCCTTTAAATGAGGCTCCTCTACGGCAAAAACAAAACAGATCCAGAAAGCAGCAGCAGCAAAAGCAGCAGCACTTGCGTCAGCCAGCAACAGCAGCAGCAGCAACAGCAGATGCTGCAGCAACACCCAGCCTGCTGCTATCCATACAAGTCAGCCTGTATAAAGGAAACCAGGCCAATAAACGCATGCGCCAGCAGCGCCAGCAGCAGCTGCTGCTGCTGGCGCGTGCATGCACTAGCAGCAGAATATGTTTCTTACGGTCACGAGAAGCAAAGATAGCGAGCTGAGTTGCAGCCAAAGCCCCAATTGTCTCTGGATCTGCTGCCCAAGGGTGCATGCGCTCTTCTAGCTTCTCTATCTGAAGGAAACAGAAACAGAGGCACAAGGGAACGAATCTGCATGGCGTACAGCGTATTTAACATGTATACGTTATCATGATATATGCATTATATAATATATATATGTATATATATAATGCATCTGCTATCTTTTCATTTATCATTACAAAAGCCGTCATCCTGTTCATTTTTACGATTGAGATAATGTTTCTCCCTAATTCTACTTAATAATTTTACAATTATGTTACTTTCCTTCCCTCGTTTTTTTATGAACCATTCTAGCTCTTATCTCGTGTGGATACATTTGATACTCCATGAAAAACAAGTACTTTTGTTATCTCTTGAAATGCAGACAGTTTTTATTCTTGAAAAAAATATTTATCTATTTTCATATATTTACCTCGCAAGTGGAGTCACAGAGACGCACAAACTCTGCGATATCTCCGTTGTCGTATGCCCTATCAAACCGAACGACATCATCACCCACTGCAACGCAACAGAAACAGCAAGCAACTGCACTTTGTCTGTTTGTTCTCTTTGTTTGTTTATAATACTCGTATTCATCTTCTTCGCTGCTCATGTTTCTGTCCTTAAGCTGCATTATACTCCTCTATAAACATATGTTGATTCATTTGTTCTCGTTTCTCCAGAGAAGTGCTTATTGTCTTTGTACACTCCGTCTTAGCATTCGTTCAAGTGTCTCTGAGTCTGTCTAATTAAAGAACAACACAAAATAATGACGAATGGCATAAGGAAGAAACAGAAGAAGAGTGCAAAGGCTGCATATAGCAAACAAGATGCAGCAAACAAGATGCAAACACTATTCAATTTACAGTAGCTGTTATTCATAGACTAGACCCTGAAACACTAACAATATCATTAAACCTTCTTTTCCATGTAGACAGCTTCAGTGCAGCATTTGTTTGTTTATTTGTACAAACAAATACTCATAACACCAAGTAAATAGCAAAATACAACTCATAAGAAGAACAAATGCGGATGGAGAGACAAAACAAACACAGAACAGCCGTCAAAGTGAACGAGCAAATGTGCGATCCAAACAAACCACGAAAACCCCGAAATAAACATTAAAAAGCAGTGTGACAGAAAAGCAACAACTATTCAAGCCCCCAAAACAAACAAAGACAGAAAAAATGTACCTGTACCAAAGGAAAGCATATTATTCAACTTCCCCCCGTATTCACTCTCCTGAGCTTTTCGCTTGTAGGCGGTCTACAGGAGAAAACAAAATAACAAACGTAAGAGCAAACGCACAAACCAAATGTAAATAAATACTTCCAAACTCATACATAAACAAAACAGAACTAACAGATAGATCGACAAACAGGAAGCTGCTGCTCCTGCTACACCTGCTACTATTTTCTGCTGCTGCCGCTGCTGGCTGCTGCTGCTTCTGGCTACTGCTGCTGTGACTGCTACTGCTGCTGCTGCTGCTGCTCCTCCTCCTCCTCCTGTGCTACAAGTCTTACATCCCGCCCGGCGCAGCACTGGTTCCCCATATCTACAGAAGACGAAAAAGCTCTGCAAATGAGAAAAAGAAAGAAGACAGAAAGAGCCCAGTAGCGCCCTACAAGCCAAGCCGAGATGCAATAGATGCTGTTAATTGCTGCTGCTAATGTGTTAATTCAAAAAAGAAACAAACAACTCCCTAAAGCCGTACAGTATCCCTGAAAATGCAACGAAGGGACACTACCAGCACAAACGCAAGATAAAGATATCTGCAAATATGTCATTGTTGCTGTTGCTGCTTCCCCTGCTGCTGCGGCTGGTGCTGCTGCTGCTATTCCAATGTGGGCGAACCTGATTCAGCAGCGCGCCAAAGGAGCCCAACAGCATCGTATAGAGGAGTGCATGCATACACTGCAGGTCCTCCTCCGCTGCGTCTTGCTTTGTGCTGCTGTCGCTGTTGTTGTTTCTGTTTAACCAATCGTGCTGGTGGTTCTTTGAAGCAGAAGAACGCTGCAGTGGCTATCTGCTGCTGCTGCTGCTGCTACTGCTGCTATCTGCTTCACGTGCTGCAGCTGCTGTCTTCTGCTGATGCTGCTGCTGCAGACACTCGCGGACGATAACGCAGCGTTTGCTCCACCCACAGTTTTCAGATGCCAAGGAGAATACAGCAAATATCGTAGTCTGTTAGAGCTGTGAAGCCTAAACCCTGTACACTAAACCCTCAGTCAGACACGCACACACAGAGCTGCACCTCTGGCAGCTGTAGTGTGCTTGTTGGTGCCACAAGAGTGAGGCGTCTGAGTGGAGTTTAAGGGTTTGTTCAACAGCTGAACGAAGAAGAAATCTGTTGTTCAATATAATGTACAGCTGCGTATAGACGTTGCGGAGGAGGCGCCATGGGGCTCCCCCCCAGGAGGCAGTGAGAGAGGCACACGAGATAATTCTGTTGATTTGTTTTTAAAGAACAAAGGCAGACAAAGAAGACGGGAAATGTAGCTGCAAAAGCTGCACTTTGAGGCCCCTCCGCACGGCAGCTGGGTCAAGCTGAAACCTGCAACCTTGAGGAGCTGCAACAATGAGCTGCCGGCAAGAAAAAGAAGAAAAAACAACCACCAAACTTCAAATATGAATATAAATTCAATAGCAAAGACCCCAGAGAAGGAGCAGCAACAACCAGGGGCTTCTGCTGCAGTTGTTTTGCTGCTGTTGTAGAACTCGATCGTTGTTGCCTGCGACCAGCCAGTGCCCAGCAGGGCTGGGGTGTACAGACACCTCCCTAAACTGGGCAAAGCCTTAGTTCTAAATATATTGTTTGTTTTAAATTTCATTACCATTTGAGACTCAATTCAAGAATTCAAAAGGGATTTATTCCCCTAATCGCGCACAACTCAACTGTAGCTAGAAACGCCCAGCATCATCTTGTGCGTCGCTGGCGGACAGCGGCGGTTTCCCACAGCTGTCGCATAACTAGGCACAATTTATGCATAAAACATTACCATTTTTAAGCTCTTTCTACTCATAGACCTAAAATGAGAGAAAACTCAACGCAGATCCTGCAAATAAGGTAAAGCAAGGGGCATTGGGGTCGTCGTTTGTATGGGTGACGATGGTGCCGTCGATACAGGGAAAGCAACACTCTCTCTGTCCCACGAACTGCATGCAGCTCTGCGGTTGTTCATGAAAATAAAGAACAAGTAATAAAAACGTGGTTTTGATGGACAATTGAATTTATTGAACTTCTTAAAACACTAAGAAAATGCCGACAGTGACAGGTGGATCGGTGAGGCGCCAGTTGGCATGGGGTCTCGAGACAGCCGCTTCACACAACTGAGAAAACGAGATCTGGAGTAATGGTGGCTTCATATCACTTGCAAAGCCTTTCTCCTCTGAACCCTTTTATATGCGTCTTCAAGAACACTCGAGCTAGGCTGGTGTGACCTCCTATTGAGTGTGGCCCCTCATAGTTCATTATTCTTTACTGGGCAGGGGGAGACTTCAGTACTCAGCATTTGCGCAGGGAAAGTAGCAGCAGAGTTTGCTGCTACACAGCATGAGCATTGTCTTCCCCTTTCCAGCCCCAGGAACATCGGCTTCAGTGCTCAAGAAGAATCGATGCTTGGAAGAGCTGCCGGATTTTGTTTTTAGTACTTGCTTCATGCACGGCCACCCTGCGCTAAGACGACTGACATCGCTTCCCCTAGAGGAATGATGTAACTTGTGCCCTGAGTTGTCATGGCTACTTAGTGATGCGCTTCCTTTGTTAATGCTGAATTCGCGTCGCTGCAAGCGGATACAACGGCCCAATGAACATCTCTATAGTGGAGCCATCGACAGATAGCTTTTGCTCTTCAGTTTGCTTAACCGCCTCCTCTAAGTAGGGATTTTGTTGCTGAGCCTAACATTTCTCATTTTAAGCACTACAATGTCATGTATAAAGCGCTTGCGCCTTTTCAGTTTCATTGAACAGTTCCTCAGCGTCTTTAACCTTCCTATCTGTTGACAGACATAATGTAGCCTCAGTCCTTGCAGCAGTTATTTTGGCCAGGTGTTCTTAGATGATCTCACCGTTCTAGTAAGGGGAGTATGACCGGAATATAGACACCTGAATGCCCCACTAAGCAGTGGCTGCTCAGGGGCCCGGCCCAGGGGCGCAGCCCACCGAGGGTTAACTTCCCCCGCAAACGTGCTTTGTGCGCGAGAGCTTAGGTTGCAGGCTATGATTTTACATCGTCTTTAATGGCGAAGCCTTTTGGTGCAAGGTCAAATCCTCACAACCTAGACCTACCCCTACTGGCTCGCTGACCTGGAAGCGATGCCATGGATATAGCACTGTCGATGCAGCAAAAAGGCGGAGGAGACAGATAAGATTGAAATGATAAATAATTCGTCGCTCGCTTGCCACCGATACCTGAGGAACAGTACCTCTATGCCTAGAGGACTTTAACCGTCCTACCTAATTATTCAGGACTGTCAGTGTTTCTGCCAACAGTAGGGGAAAATAATGCCCTTGAAAAGTTCTGCTGGCGGACTGCTTACATTCAGTTTAATATGGTGTGTGTGCGACTTCTCACAAAACTGGCAATGCATGCAGTAATCGCAAACACTACGTCTGTAGCTTTATTTGAAATAACACGGCAGTTGTTTGATGAACCCGGAGCCGCTACCGATTGGGCCGAATATCACACAAATGGGTGTCTAGGAAACGTCCTGAGTGTTCGTGTCGGTGACAGCAAAGGTAAGCTAATTCATGCTACTCCCATTTCTATTTTTTAGATGAGGACGCTGCATGCACAGCTTGGTTATGCCGTTTATTACTGGGTGGCAACTCCACATAATCGGTCCCCAAACCATCACCAGCAGCACCTGTCCTGGACCTACTTTTTCGGTCGTCTTCCTTATTGTACAGGTGTCCTCTTCCTCATGGACGCAGTTACTAGCGGCTGTTCTGCTGCCGTTACTGCTGTTGTCGTTGCTACCGCTGCCACTTCCCACCATCTGTTCTGTTCTCGTGCGGTTTGCCCTCCCGCAATGTCATTCCTGCCAAAGTCAATGATATGACAGCATCTTCATGGTGGGAAGAACTCGATGATGCATACCAACTGAATAGCGCTGGAACAAACAGCAGATGGCCATACCCACGGCAAACTTCCTCGGCTGCTCGCCCTCGTACGAGCATCAAAGACCGTGCAAATCCATTAAAGCTACTTCGCCGGGGTTGAAGGTGGTTGCTGAATGCCATTTACTGCAGTTGCTTACATCGTGTTCTTGTGCTTTTCTCATGCACTCACACATTTCTGATGGAGGTCGGAAGCTGCGAACGTTCGACGTTGGCTTCCAGCGGCCAGATCCATGCTCAGGTCTTCCACTCCCCCTACCGTAGAAGGTGCAACTACCGTTGGTAGCGCTGGGCGGTGGACTCTCTTATTGCTTCCCCGCAAATTTACCTCAATCCTGCAGCCTGGGAGCTATCGCCCTCCACTGGATTACGCACGGCATGCTAATGATAATGTTGCAGTGTACTGATCCAACACAGAAGTCCGTGGTAATAGTTCCCATTACTGAATTAAGTTAGCATTTTGTCTTCCATCCGCGAAGCGTAGCTGCCGAGTGTGTGGTAAAGGGTAGGCAGGTGGCTTGCACCTCGCCGCCGTAGCTTTCGCTTTCAGAAGCCTTTCGCAGCCCGCTCCAAGTAAAGGTAGAAGCTCTTGACCACTAATACAAAGTTGGATAGGCAAAGAGCCAACTCGAGGTAGGTCTGCGGGTGAGGGGTGACACCACTTTCGGCTGTAGGGCTCTTCCCGATATAGCGCTTTACCGATAGCTTCTCTCGTTTTTCAGTTCTGCCACAATATGTTTTCTTGCTGAAGTGGGAATACGCCTACCGAACAGTGCACATCAGAAGGCTTCCACAGTCTGGATGCACACCGACTAGGTGATACACTTGCTCAGATAGAACCTCCTTCGCCGAGTCTCCCGTCCTAATAACGAAAATTTGAATAGGAACTGTAGCCCTTCGGGTGCATTTTGGAGATGGAAATACAATTAGATCTGCCTTTGCAATGCGGAGAACCTGATCAGTTGGCCAAGGCGGGGGCACTCTCTATGCATCGTTTGGGACAGACATTTTCTGGTGCAAGGGATACAGATACTGACTTGCGGTCAGCCATACGAGGCTCGCACTCGTTGAGTGTCTCGACAGAGGAGGCGAGATAGTGCTCATTCTCCTTAGTGCCAGTGCAGAAAGGGCAGTTGTTTTGAGGGTTTTGGGGACTTCTTAAATTGTCTTTAGTACTAAAACACCTTCGGTGCTACTCACTGCCATGCATCTGGCCTCCCCGTTTCGTGGTTAATGTTCGTTGCTCGTACCTGTTTGGATGATTCATGCAGCGCTACCGTTTGGAGCGAGAGTCCGCGATCTTTTCTGGGGGCCGACGTGTGCTGCAAACGAGCCAAAATACTCAAGGAAAGAGTTCCCATGATAGGGCTGACATTTTCTCTCACCCATTAACGTTCTGCGTACAGCAGCCGGGGGGTCTCGTCCTCTGGCATAGAAGTGGACAGCAACACACCTCGCCGAAGCTAGCGCCGTAGGCGACCTTCACATGCAGGCATGAACGAACCACCTTTTGCCACTTGCACTAACACTCTAGACAATTGTTGTGCTTATGCTTGCCTTCAGCCTGCCTACTAAGGCTAATGTGCTGCTTCTCTGCCACCTTATGAGACCATGCTACGAGCTACCCACCATGGGGTAAGCCCCGACAGCGCCGAAAAGCCGTTCTGCTCAAATTTGAATAAATTCTTTTAATTCGAAAAATCGATACAATCTGGATAATCAAATTGTAACTACATAATTATGCAGGGCAGCATTGATTGTTGCTGTTTGAACTAAGCACAGAGCACCCAGTGAGACTAGAGGCGGTTGCGGCGGGATGCAGATATCCATTTATGGTGGGGCAAATACGGTTTTCTGCCAATATCACGAACAAGTTTCTTAGAAGCATTTGATTTAAGGAAAAAGAAGAGGGAATAAGCAGCTGCTCTATCAATGCTGCATGCCCTCCCAACCTGAACGCGCGTCGCAGCAGTCAGGAGCACACAGTGAAGGCTTATTGCGGAGGGGTACGGGGAGGTTCTAATGGTTGTATAGCCCATAGAAATGAATTATAGAGAACAACGAGTAAATTTATGTTGTGTAAACTAGAAAAAGAGGAAAAACAGCGGCATTTTGTCCTACTGACCAACCGGCTGCTTCCCAGCGGCTGTGGAGGGGCGGCGAAGTTTGCCGAGGGTCTGGCTGCTGCGTCTGTGCGTCGGCGGGACGCGAAATATGTCTTTATGAATGCTGTAAATAGCTTTTCTAATTGCTGGTTTTCGTGGACTTCTTTATAGTTGGTGGCGGCAACAGGCTCGTCTAATTCACCACTCTGCATCTGCTGTTCACATACACCGGCGCCAGCAGCTTCGGGTGTACCTGCAGCATTTTGCCACTAGACCTGCTAGCACCGCTTTTGCTGCAACAAGTTGGCGTTATCAGACATTTTTAAAACACAAGGGGCTCCTAAAGTCCTCATTTTCTCTTTTTTTACCTCAGGATCAGCACCCCAGTTCCCTGCGTTGCTGCACAACAACCTGTGCGGTGCTACGGCGATATCGTGGACCGGCGGAGGCGCCTCTCTTCCTTTTCAAATAATAAACTAAGCAGGTCAGTATGTATTTGAAATACTTCACCTCCCTCGCGTTCTACTTACTCGGGTTCTCGGCCCCAGAGGACACTGCCTCCTTTCTCTGTGGCTAGCGTACGTATGAGGTCTGCACGGAGAGGAGCTCTATTGCAGCACTTTTTCCATGTATTCTTCACCTCTGCATGCATCTGTTACTCAACAGAAGACACAGATGGGGGCTCTCCGTCGGCGGCCCGGGTGCAGAGAGGCTTCCACTTGCTACCTCTACGCAGTCTGTGTAGTTCATGCGTTGCTGCCCCTGACGGTGCAGTCTTCCTTTTTATATGCATTGCTCTTTATAGTGTTTATCCTTTTGATTCCCGGGTTTTTGGGGTTTTATCCGCACTAGGAGTAGCGGTTTATAACTGGGGCTTCTTGGTGCAGGTATTTTTGCTATGGGTGTTTAAACGGGTTTGCCTGCAGGGCGCACGAGTGGTGCATGCATATGTGCATGCATGCATCATTATGTTTTCTTTGGCGGTGTTGTTTTATGTTACTTGCTGCAGTTCGGGGCGTGAAAGACGAGGGAGATGCACTGAGGGGTTATATAGCAGTATAGCAAGTCGTGGCTTGAGCGTTTAAGAGAGCGATACAGACAAACAAAGGAGAAGAAGCTGCATAAAAGGAGAAGGAAGAATAATAGAAGAGCCCTCGCGGTGTCCGTATGCCGGATGCATTTGTGTGGGCGTACATGTCTCGTTCTGCGCCTCCTCCGGTTGTGTGCGGCTCCAAGAGCAGTAAGCAGCAGCTGCAGCAGCAGCAGCAGCTGCAGCAATTGCATTCTCATACGTTCTCCAGCAGCAGCTCTCCTACAAGCTGCAACGAACCGCTGCCCGAGTGGGGCGGCTGAAACCCACAAGGCGTCCCCTAAAGTCTGGTCTGCTCTCTAGTGGAGGTGAGGAGTGTATGAACATGCATATAATTTATAATATATGTTAATCAGTCATTTGTATCTAATCGACGCTGCTTGCTGGCTACACATTCGTAGCGGTGCTAGTTGCCTAGAGACATGCATAGCAGCGTGTGTGCACGTTGGCTGCTGCTGCTGCTGCTGCTGTATTCTTTTTGCTGTTGCATGCAGCTGGGCTGCGTATTTGATTAAGGGCCCGTTTATATCGTACCACCACAGCCTGTATGCAGGCGAGAAGTGGAACTCTGAGATTGTGTGTATATTCTGTTGCTGCTGTTTCTGCTGCTGTCTTCTATCTGCAGCAGCCGCTATCACCTTCTTGTCCTCATGAATGGCTACGGCGACGGTCTCCGCGGCCAAATAATTGAAGTATGGGCGCACAATCTTGGTGAGTCTTGAAGCGTGATTGTTTTTTCCTTTGTTTCTCTATATCTTCCCACTGCATGCAAGTTGAATTCGCCTGAGAAGAGGTGTAGACATGGGCTGCAGAGACGGTGGGGTTGATGTGTTGTTTCATCCGGCAAGAATGCATGCAAATGCACGTATGTTCTGTTTTTGGCTTTGCTATGCATGCAAATTCATCTTCTGTCTGCATGCAAATTCATGTTCTCGTTTTGCGGCTTTGTGGAATTCTGCTGCAGAAGAGGAACTCGACCGCATCAGGGATGTTGTGGAACGCTATCCATACATCGCGCTGGTGAGTTTTCGAGTTCAGGGTTTAGGGTTTAGGCTTTAGGGTTTAGGGTTTGCTGTGATGAATTTCCAGTTGGGTGTCGTCTCTGGCGCATAGGTAGGATATGGGGGTCTTGTCGGTTCGCTGTTTTTATTATTATGATGTTTGCTTTGAAGGGTTTATTTTTTAGGGTTTAGGGTTTAGGGTTTAGGGTTTGGGGTGCGTTTGGCAACGTGTTCAGGATACAGAGTTTCCGGGTATTGTGGCTCGGCCGACTTCGAATGCTTTGGATTATAACTACCGGACGGTGAAGTACAATGTGGATTTATTGAAAGTAATTCAATTGGGTTTAACTTTTGCAGATAGTCGTGGGCGTTTGGCGGAGGGAACTTGCACGTGGCAGTTCAACTTTCGTTTCGACTTGAACGAGGATATGTACGCTCAGAACAGCATTGATTTCCTGAAACAGAGCGGCATTGACTTTGATAAACAGCAGAAAAAAGGAGTTGAAGTTCATGATTTCGGTGAACTAATAATGAATAGTGGCTTAGTTATGAACGAAGACGTCAAATGGATATCTTTTCATGGATGTTACGACTTCGGGTACTTGTTGAAATTGCTCACCTGCGAGGCTCTTCCTGAATCAGAGAATGCCTTTTTTGAGCTCGTTCAGGACTTCTTTCCTTCTCTATACGACATTAAATTCCTTTTAAGAGACTTACCCAACTTCAATCTCAGCCAAGGAAGCAGCTTGCAAAAGGTTAGCGAGCAACTCAATGTAGAGCGGATAGGACCCCAACATCAAGCAGGAAGCGACAGTCTTGTTACTTGCCGCACTTTTTTTAATCTTGTTGAATCTTATTTTGATGGAAAGATAGATGAAGCAAAGTTCTCCGGTGTTATCTACGGCTTGGGCGCAACTGCACATAAACGGCACAGGGGGCCCCCTGGGGGGGCCCTCACTAACACCCCTTCTTTAGACTTGGGGGGCCCTGTGCATTCTAATGATCTTAAACAGCAAGACAACAGCAACAATCCCAACGGAGATATCATGCTTGGGGGCCCCGGTGCTATGGGCCGGTACGTCAGTGCTGGCCCGGGGGGCCGTCTAGGCGCTCATCCGCAGCAGCAGCAGCAGCAGCAAGGACCATGGGGCTCTATTGGTCGTGTAGGCAGCGGAGTTGTGGGTATGCGGCAACAGCAGCAGCAGCAGCAGCATTCTCAGGCGCTTCTGGGTATCCCTGCAGCAGCAGCAGCTGACAGCAGCGCAGCAGATCGCCTTAGAGCGGGAGCTCCCGGGGGGGGCCCCCACTCAGGCATCATCCCAGGTAATGGGGCCCCTCGAGGGTTCGGTTCAGAGCTCCATCGCACAGGCAGCGCCCCTCCAGCGCCGCTGCTGTGCGGCAGCAGCGACGGCCGTGTATGGCCCGCTAGTGGAAGCATCACTGTTGGAGGGAGGCATGCAAACGGTGAGCAGCAGCAGCGAGTTGGGGCCCCTGCTGCAGGAGCCTTCGTCTTCGAGGGCACGGGAGGGGCCGCAGGGGCCCCTAGGAGGCCCTGAGGTCGGGACCTGGACAGGATCGCTACTGCTCGCCACCTTATCTGCCTCCATTGCTGCTGCTGCAGCAGTTGCTGCTGCTGCAGCAGCTGCTGCTGATGGGCGCGAGGGGGGCCCTGCTTTCGCTGATGCACTGAACTTCCTTAAGAGAGAGGCACTTGCAGGTGTGCGGGGCCACAAAGGGGCAAGAGGGAGACAGTCAGGCTGCAACATCTGCTGCTGCTGCAAGTGCTGCTGCAGCAGCAGCAGCAGCGGCAGCAGGAGGAGCCGCAGCCGCAGCAACAGTTGCAGCAGCAGTGCTCACTGCAAAATACTACACGGGCCCCCCGCGCATTCATCTGCAGCGGTGAGGAGGTTTAGGGTTTACTCAGCAGCAAGCAGCTTATAGATAGGTCTAAGGGGCTGAAGCTGTGCGGCCCTACCAGGGGGCCCCCAGGGGGGCCCCACGGCCCACGAGGGGAGGGGGGGGGGCCCCCTAGGGAAACCCGGATGCGTAATTGCATGTCGGAGGCCCCAAGGAGTAAGGGGGCCCCTCATCATATCAACTTCTTGACCGTATGGAGATGCACTCTGATGGGTTGTTGCAGTTTTTCGAGTTTGCTTTGACTGGGTATAGTAGTGGGCCTTGCTGCTGTTGCTGTTGCTGCTGCTGTTGCTGCTGCTGCTGTTGCTGTTGTTGTTGTTTCTGCTGACGCTCTCGTTTTTGCTGTTGCTGACGTCTTTGCTGCTGCAGTTTCTGCTGCTGTTGCTGTTGCTGTCTTCGTCGCTGCCGCTGCTGAGTTTGGGTATATAGAGTAGCATAAGCATGCAGCGATTGATGTTGGTAGTCTCTGTTAGCCTATGAGAGGTTGAAGAACACCTGTCTTCACATTTGAAGCGTACGTACACCTCAAATAGATATACACAACAATAGCTAGGGTATTTGCAGCATTTATTAGTGCTATTTAAAGAGATGCTGATATAAAAGAGAGAAGGAAAAGGAATTGAATGAGTTAGGGAGAAGGTGCATATTAATTTGCATATTTCTAATGAATTAGGGTTTGTTCAATAGGAGAGATGTATTATAGTAGTATTGAATAGAATAATACAAACAACCCCTCAATAAACTATATAAAAATGTTGAGGTTTTTGTGTTTGCTGCTATGAGACAAGCGAGGGCTCCCAGGGCTAGCAGCAGCAAAACAAGGGTAGAGACAAACCCCACAACACAGAGGTAGCAGCAGCGGTGCTGTTGCTTGCTGCTGCAGCGCCTCCAGCAGCAGCAGCCTTTTAGGGGAGACATGTGAAAGAAGAAAGAGTATGGGGTGCGCAGCACATAGACGGAGGAGCCGATGTAGTTGTCTGCAGGCCTTCTTATTATAATTATATATATAATTATTAATATTTATAATATTGTTATTTTAGTTATTTAATATTCACAATCATTATTTTTCTATCGAGTGAACACTCAACCCCCTGCTGCACTGCATGCGGTGGTAGAGGGGCGAGGGAGAGGGGTAGGCGAAGGGCTTCCACTAAATATTCCTTTAAGACATATTTATTTAAATATTTATTCTTAAATTAAAAAAAACAATTGGGAAAAATTGCTGCAGCAGCAGCAGCAGCAGTAACCGCAACACTAGCAGCAGCACTAGCAGCAGCAGCAGCAGCAGTTTGTGGCCGGCGGTCTAGTGGAGAAGATATTATTTTAACGTTTTCGGTGAATTGACTTATACTATTTAATATAATTAATTAATAAAGCAGGCAGAGGTATATGCGGCTGCTGCTGCTGCTGTCTAGGGTTTGCTGCTGCTGCAGGTCCACTGGTTCCATTGATTCTTCTTCC